GGTCCGCAAACATGTGGGTGAGGCACATGAAAAGACGCGACATCCGGACGATTGCGAGGTGGCGCAAACGGGCAGCCTCAGGGGGTGGAATGGGGCGCGGCAGCTTCCCCCGACCCGAATTTCGGTCGCCTTCGAGTCACAGAGCGTCGGGAATCGTTCGTCATGAGGGCGATCAGATGCCCTCGCGGCAGCCCTTCGGCTCGAGCCGATTTGATCGAGATCACCTCACCGGCTCCGGGAGGCGCGCGGCGCCGCGGGTGACACGGCGCTCACTGCGCAATGCATGCGGCGTTCGGGCCGCGGCAACCTTGACAGGCCACTCGGGAGGGACATTCCAGGCGGTGTTTACTCGAGATGCCGCGGCCCGCTCGAGCCCTGGAACTAAGTTGGGCCTCTCGTCGGTCGCCCCCCACCATTAACGGCCGTTCTCGTCATCCACGGGCTGCCCCGACGCGAACTAAGTTGCTCGCCTTCGACCGATGGTCTTTCCCGAGCGACTCGCACCCGGGCCCGAGGCGCGGCAAGGTCCACAGACCGAGCGCCGCGCCAAGTCCTGGAACCGCTGCATCGGCTAGCGAAAGACGCGTTTTAGCCCAGATCTGACAAAACGAGCAAAGCCTGGGGGGGCTGATCTCAGATCAAGCCCGCTGGGGTCGCGCGAGCCTTGTCGCCTCTTGCGCCCTTCAGCTTCCGGCAAACATGCCCCAGACGAGCAGCGACTCAGCGAGGCGCGACCTGCCCTCGCGAGCCTGCACGACGCGCGTGCACGCACAAACCCACACCAACGCAAAGCATACGCGCACGCGCGCATCGCAAGCCAACACACCAGCAATCATGGCCGCCCTCGCCGCCGCCGCGCCGCCGCTCTCCAAGAGCCAGCAGAAGAAGGAGAAGGAGCGGCGGCAGAAGATGCGCAAGATGGCGGACATGGCGGACACGATGTACAAGGGCCGGAGATGCTTCGTGAGCAAGAACGGCGCCGAGTCGCTCGCGACCGTCGTCAAGGTGCACCGCGACGACCCGGAGGAGATGTACATCACCGTCGCCGACGAGGCCGGCCGGGAGCGGCAGACGCTGCTCGCGCGCACGCGGCCGGCGACGGACGAGGAGGTCGAGGCCTACGACGACGCGGCCGAGGACCGCAGGGCCGCCGCGGACGCCGAGGCCGCGAAACGCGCAGAGGCCGAGCGGCGGAAGGCCGAGGACGCGCTCGTCGACGAGCTCGGCGACATCGCGCTCGGCGACGGCGCCGCGACGGCGACGAAGAAG